TGCTTCGTTCCCCTCTCCATTTGATGTGAGATCTTACAATCCACCCCCTTGGGGGTCAGGGTATTGGCTAGCACACCAGTCACACCCTAGCACATCGCCCGATGACGGGCTCTAAACGCTTCTCTACTAGTAAGAGGTTTCCACACCCTTTGTAAGGAATGCTTCGTTCCTCTCTCCATTCGATGTGGGATCTCACAATCCACCCCCCTTGAGGGTCAGGGTACTCACTAGCACACCAGTCACACGCTAGTAGTCACATGCTAGTACATCGCCTGATGACTAGCTCTGATACCATTTGTGATAGTCTAAGCCTACTGCTAGTAAATATTGTCCGTTTTAGTCTGTTACGCATTGCCGTCAGTCTCAATCACAGTCTTAAAACAGTCCGTTACGCATTGCCGTCAGTCTCAATCACAGTCTTAAAACAGTCCGTTACGCATTGCCGTCAGTCTCAATCACAGTCTTAAAACAGTCACAGTCTTAAAACACGTACGTTAGAAAGATGTTTCCATATGCTTATAAGAAAGGAAATGACTTTGATTATAAAATTATTAACATAGAAAGCAGAACCCATTAAATTGCAAATTCGATTTATGAGAGATGATGACATCTTGTAGAATACTACACTGTTTGAAAATTATATCATAAAGTGACAATTGCATATCATAATATGGGGACACATAATTAAGATAATGTTCTAATTATTTTTATTTTCAACTATAGAAAAAGTCAACACAGAAAAAGGATCCCACCAGCCCCAACCCAAAAGGAAAATTAGAGAGCAAAAAAGAAAAAAAAAACATAAAAAAATTACAAAAAGGGCAAAATAATTAAAATCGACTTGTCTTCATCATCAAAAGTCAAATCCTCCATGGGAACCAAGCAGAAGAAACAGCATGACAAAAATTCAATACCATTAATTCAATCAATTCAAACAGCGAGCAATAAATTCGTTAAGAACAAAGAATTTTTCAACGAAAAGTTGAGGGATCGATTTCTTACTTTTTGAAGAACTGTGAAAGAAAGCTTCCATGGAGGAATCAGATCCTCTTTCGAGCCGAGAATTGAACACAAAATCCTAAACTCTTCATTCCAATCCACCGATGCTCCATCTTCACAGACATTGCCCTTATCTGTGTAGTTCCTCTTCACAGACCGACGCCAAGAACTCAGACCTATAATTTTCTGCCCTTTCCACTTGATTTCCACCACTAAACCACTCGAATCCTTCAGCGATAGATTCGCCAATCCTTCCAAGCGGCGAAGATTGATGATCGCCTCGTATTTTCTCGACGAGAACGCCTGCCAAGACGTCCATCGGACCAGTTTCACCACCATTAAACGATCAAATCGAACCAGAAACAAAAACACAGAGACAAACAGAATCAAAAACGAATATCGGATTGTTGAATCGCAGGAATAGAAGATCGATTGGAAAGGAATCAAAGAAGAAGATCGATTGATTGCGGATTTGGATTAGGAAAAAAGGGATAAGAAACGAGAATTTGAAGAAGATACGTAGAGAATATTTTGGGGGAAGAATTGAAGAAATGAGGAATTGAAGAACTGAAAGAGAGGATTTGATGGATATTTATATTGAAAAAAAGAAAAAAAAAAAAAGAAAGTGTAAAAAGGCTCATGAATTTGGGCTCCACACTTCAATTTTCAGAAGAGAGAGAAAGAGAGAGAGAGATTTACTCTCCATGAAAACAAACAACCACTTCTCTCTCCTAATATATTTTTTTAATAGTTTTAATAACTAAATTAATCTTCTTTTTTTTTAATATTATATTGTTTTAATAACTAAATTAAAACAAAATATACAACATTTAATTAAATTTACCAATAGTAACTAATATATATATATATATATATATATATATATATATATATATTATTATAAATATTATTCTCGAGTTGTCATTGACATGTCTCTCGTTTGTTATCTCTCTCGTCTTCTGGTTATACAATAATGGTTGATCTTAGCCCTTCGTCACATTGCCATTTGAATCAACCAACTAGATTTTGTACTGTGATTATTCGAACCTACGTACTCGACTTGACCCAACTCGAGATTAGGTTGAATGGGTTGGATTTGGTTGCCGTTGTTAATCGGGTTGGTAAATAGACCAACTTATAAATTCAGGGTTGGTCCAAAAAAATACCCTTAACTCGACCCATATATACCTATATTAAAGCGTAACAACCCAAACCTATTGCTAGTAGATATTGTCCGCTTTGGCCGGTTATGTATCGTCGTCAACCTCACCGTTTTAAATCGCGTATGCTAGAGGGAGGTTTTCACACCCTTAGAATGAATGTTTTGTTCCCCTCTCCAACTAATATGAGATCTCACAATCCACCCCCTAGGGACCAACATCCTCGCTGGCACACTGCTTGGTGTCTGTTTTTAATGCCATTTGTAACAGTCTAAGCCCAACGCTAGCAAATATTGTCCACTTTGGCCATTTACGTATGGCTGTCAACCTCACGGTTTTAAAACGGATCTACTGGGGAGAAGTTTTCACACCCTTATGAGGTCGTTCCCCTCTCCAACCAATATGAGAACTCACAATCCACCTCCCTAGAGCCCAATGTCCTCGCTAGCACACCACCCGGTGTCGGGCTCTAATACCATATGTAACACCTCAAGTCCACCGTTAGCAGATATTGTCCACTTTGGCCATTTACGTAAGGCCGTCAACCTCACAGTTTTAAAACGAATCTGCCAGGGAGAGGTTTTCACACCCTTATGAAGAACTTTTCGTTTTCCCCTTCAATTAATGTGGAATCTCACAACATATATCTTCACATCAGATATTTGAATTCACCTAGTAGTTGATAAACTAAAAACAAGTAAAATTATAAAGAATTTCTTAACGATCATGTTCTTAAGATCACTCTCGTTCAGATGTGATTTCGATTCATTTATATACTTTACTAAATTTTTAACTATTATGTTGTGTTTAAATCCATGTTTGTTCAAAAAAAAATTATTTTTAATAAAAGAAAAATGTTAATTAATAAAATATCTATTTATTTATTTCAAATTATAACTCAATATATATTTTAAAAAATTACTTTAAAAAGTGGTTGGAAAGTAAATAATAGTAATAATAATAAAATAATTATGAAATTAAATAAAAATAAAATAAATATTTGTATATATAATTGTAGAGTAAGAAAAAAAAATATTTTTTAAAATTAACAATAAATTCGAGTGGGCTCGATTCAATCCAATCTAAGTTGTAGTGTAACCGATGAACCAAACCAATCCATAAACTTTTCATTTATTTGAACCCAACCCAATCCAAATCGTGTGGGCTCGATTAGATGGATTAAATTTTTTGAGTCAACGAATTTTTTTTAACGCTCTTAAAATTAAAGATGTTTAGCTATATTTTTAGTATTTACATAATTAAGGAAATGAAAATGAAATGAAAATTCAAGAAAATAAGGGAAAAATATTTTAATATTGTGTAAAATTAGTTTGAAATTGGAGTTGAAATATTTTTTTTTTTATTTAACTAATAAAAATAAAAATAAATTTAAATTGGCTGAAAAACAAATCACAGCAGTTAGATAAAGAATATGGAGTCTTCAAGTTTAGAAATTAAAGATATTCTTTTCTTTTCTTTTATTTTTAATTTTTTTTAGAGAATTTATGTTAAAATGCCAATAATGGAAGAAATATTCTTATTCCTTATTTATTTCCATTCTTGTCAAGCAACTATTAAATAAATTATTTATATATATAATTTAATTTTGAGCCGATCTGTTTTGGTTCGGTTGGTCTAATTCAATTTTTGGTTTGATTCCTCGTGTTAGGATTAGAAATTTCTACAGACCATAAAATGACTATCGTTGCTGTTAGAGATTCATCGAGATAAATGATCTTTCGAGATGTGTATGCATTGGTCGTGATCGTGATTTATGTGATGGTTATTCATGCATGTATTATGTTATTGAAAAAACAGTTACGGGACCTCAAGCATGTACCGAAACTGCCACTATAACGTAAGTTATACGCTCTTTTGTTTTCTGTTTCGAGTTCTTAATTGGTAACAACATGCATTTAGTAACGATCCTAGCCAGTCTAAGTTCAGAAAAGTTGGATCGTTACATGTTGACTTCTATCGACACCAATTTCCGATAGTCAACATTTTATTTTATATATTTTTCATTACTTATTACATCCTCCATCCAATAATAGACTTATAGAAAATTAAAAGAAAAAATAAAAAAAAGGCAGAGAATATTATATTAAGTAACAAAAAAATTGATTGATTATATATATATATATGACAAAGTCAACTAACTACTACGTTTGAATGTTTCAAGCCCATTATATATATATATATATATATATATATATATATACACACATATATATACATACATATACACATAAACATATAAATATATTATTATAATATTGTTATAATACTATAATATATATACATATACACACATATAGACATACATATTATTATATAATATATATACATATACATACATATTATTATATATATCGATATATATAATATAAAGTTATTAATAATATACTTAGTTTTTGTCACCCATTTTTGCGAAATATTTTAAATATCACAAATTAAATTTTAATAAAAATACTCTTCCATTTTGTTTTTTTAAACACGGATTAATTCGTTATAAATAAAAATGATTTATAACAATTTAATTGCTAAATACTATACTTTAAAATATATAATAATTTAGTTTCTATACTCTAATGATTTAGTCTCCAAGTATATATATATATTTGTTAACATTTAATGCGATTTTTATGTTGGTAAATCGATTAAAAATATTTTCAAGCTATAAATTGTAAACCGTTAAATGATAAAAAAAATAACGCTAAAGTGAATATAACTCTATGGTAATTAACGTGTACAAGTATTTTCATTATGCAATGAACGGGTTAAAAGGTAAAAGACGATTTTGTCCCTATAAAAGAGCGGCTCAAACATGAAAAATCAAGGCAAATCTGACCAAAAGCTTCAAACCCATTTCTCATCAGAAGTCATACAAAACAATGGAAGGAAAAAAAAAGGAAAAAAAATATATGGCTTGTTCTCTGCATAGTATTTTACGTGTTGTGTTTGATTCGGGTGAAGAATACTCGTTGAGAACGAGGGGAAAAGGAAGAGGTCGAAATGAATGACGTGGTATCGAACCCGAGCAGGCGAGCGGCCGTGCTCCTTGCTCTACAATAACTTGTAGGCAAGAACAATAAAGAAACTAACTTGAATGTTACCTTTACATAATACACTTAAAGTTTTAGAGCCTCCCTAAAGCCAATGCTGAAGCTACTTTGTAGACCTTTCTTGCCAGTATTCACTACATTTCCTTTTTGCATCATCGCCACGAACTCGTTATAGTCGATGCTTCCGTCCTGTAAAGTAAGGAGAGCGTTGAGGAAATAGTAGCGAAAGAAGAGTTCGGTCTCGAATAGTAAGAAGTTTTGATGTCTTGACATGACAAATGGAATTACTTACGTTGTTTTGATCGACCTCACGCATCATTTCTTCCATTTGAAGATCTTCTATCCCGAACTCTTTACATGCTTGTTGAAGCTCGTCGTGGGTAATGAACCCGCTTCCGTCCTTGTCGAAATATGAAAACGCTGCTAGAAGATGATCTTCCTTCTCGATTTTGTTTAGATGCAATGTGGCAGCTACGAACTCCCCGTAGTCAATGGTTCCGTTGTTGTCTATATCTGCCTGCAATTTCAGATCATAGACTTGAAACATGTCTACCGAGACCAATGAGTTAATAGTTAAGAAAAAATGCTCTACAGTGTCGTAGCAACCTAAGCCCACCACTAGCAGATATTGTCCTATTTGAGCTTTTCCTCAAGATTTTAACAAGCGTCTGTTAGGGAGAGGTTTCCACACTTTATAAGGAATGTTTCATTCCCCTCTCCAATTGATATGGGATCTCACAATCTACCTCTTGGGGCCCAGCGTCATCACTGGCATACCGCCCGGTGCCTAGCTCCAATACCATTTGTAACAGCCCAAACCCACCATTAGCAGAATTTGTCCTCTTTCGGCTTTCCCCCTCAAGGTTTTAAAATGCGTCTGTTAGGGAGAGGTTTTCACACCGTTATAAGGAATGCTTCATTTCCCTCTCCAACTGATATGGGATTTCACAATCCACCTTCCTTGGCGCTAGCGTCATCGCTGACACACTACCCGGTGCCTGACTTTGATACCATTAGTAACAGCCCAAGCTCACCGTGGACAAATATTGTCCTCTTTGAGTTTTCACTTGTGAGCTTTCCCTCAAGGCTTTAAAATGTGTCTGTTAGGGAGAGGTTTCCACACCGTTATAAGGAATGCTTCGTTCCCCTCTCCAACTGATGTGAGATCTCACAATCTACCTCCCTTGGGGGCTAACGTCATCGCTGGCACACTGTCCGGCGCCCAGCTCTGATACCATTTGTATCAGCCCTAGGTCACCGTTAGCGGATATTGTCCTCTTTGGGCTTTCACTTGTGAGCTTTCCTTCAAAGCTTTAATAGGGAGAGGTTTCTACACACTTATAAGGAATGATTCGTTCCCCTCTCCAACTGATCTGGGATCTCACAGTATCGCAAGTGAATCACCACGAATACTAGTAGATTAAGCTATGCATTTATTTTGGATAAGCGGTATCAGAGAGCACGAACTTACTGCTTGCATTAGGTCGTAAATTTCCGACTCCTTAAGATTAGCTCCAAACTTTTTCAATCCAGCTTTGAGTTCTTCAAATGTGATTTGACCGCTGTTGTCAGTATCTATCATCTTGAACATTTCCTTGAGGCCAGCAATTTCTTCTTCAGATAAGCTCTCTGCAATGACCTACACAATTCAAAACAAATGAATCAATATACTCTTTCACTATGAATTCTCACCATTCTCCATTTGGGGCTGCAAAACTTATTATATCTAGCGAAAGTTTCGTCTCGATTTGATGACAGACTTGCTTCTCGCTCTCACAACAATCTCCTTCACGATGTCGATAACTAGATTATTTAAAGCTATCAAGGTTTCTCTACGATTACCGGGAGGTGCAGTCGGAAAGGAGGAAAGTTTGGGACATTCTTTTATCATTGTCTCGACTGGAGGAACCTTTTATAAGACTCGAGCCCTCTTTCCAGTTGATTTCTTATTACCGTTCACTTATTTCAAATGTGTAACCGCCCAAGCCCACCGCCAGTAGATATTGTCTGCTTTGGCCTGTTACGTATCGTCGTCAGCCTCACGGTTTGAAAACGTAACTGTTAAGGAGAGGTTTCTACACCCTTATAAGAATGTTTCGTTCCCCTTTCCAACCAACGTGGGATCTCACAATCCACCTTATTTGGGAGCCCAACGTCCAAAACTTGGCTCTGATACCATTAGTAACAACCCAAACCCACCGCTAATAGATATTGTCCACTTTGGCGTATCGTAATCAACCTCACGGTTTTAAAACATGCTTGTTAGGGAGAGGTTTCCACACCCTTACAAGGAATGTTTCGTTTCCCTCTCCAATCTCCAACCGATGTGAGATCTTCATTTACGGCTTCCATTATTGCTACTTCGCTTGGTTAACAATGATAGTTGTAATTAGCAAGTAGACTTTTCTACGGCCATCAGTATGGGAAGTTCAAATACTTACCTTGATAGCCATTTTCTTGAGCTTGTTCATGGCTGAAAACTGCTTCAAGCGAGTCAAGACTGCCGAGTCAAGCGGCTTGTCAGGAGCGACACCGTCAACTTGAACCCAAGGGTGGCCTGTAATGAATTAGCTCGATAAGCGCATTGCGACAAGAAACAATGTTGATCATATACGTAAACCAATACAAATAACTCGATGGACGATGAACAGCTATGGAGAATGAAATTCACGAGATGACTTACACAAAACTTCATATGCTGTCAGTCTCTTTCTCGGGTCTCGAACAAGCATTCTTCTAACCAAATCTTTCGCACTGTCGGAGATGCTGGGCCAAGGGTCGGAAGAGAAGTCAAGATCGCCGTGCAGGACCTCTTCAAATATCCCTTCCTCAGACTCTACACATCAAAAGATGGAAGACAGCATAAGAGAAGTGATTATAACAAGAAATTCATATTCAGTATAATGGAACAAAATACACTTACCAGCCCAAAAGGGAGGCACTCCACTTAACAGAATGTATACAATTACTCCAGCACTCCAAACATCTGCTTCTGGACCATATCGCTTCCGCAAAACTTCAGGTGCAACATAGTACGGACTCCCGACCACATCATTAAACTTTTCGCCTGAACGAACATAAACCAGAAGTGCCGAGTCAAAAGCACGACCCAGTGCAACTATACAGTTCTACATTCATATGTATATAAACCGCAAAATAGTGGGAACTAGAGTGTAACAGCCCAAGCCCACTACTAGCCGATATTGTCCTTTTTGAGCTTTCCCTCAAGGTTTTTAAAACATGTCTGCTAGGGAGAGGTTTCCACACCCTCATAAAAAATGTTTTGTTCCCCTCTCCAACCGAGGTGGGATCTCACAATCCAACCCTTTTCGGTGCCTTGCTAACACTCGTTCCCTTCTCCAATCAACGTGGGATCTCACAAGATATACCTGGTTTGAAGAACATTGATAGTCCAAAATCAATTGTCTTGAGAAGTGATTCCTCTTCCTTGCTAACAAAGAGAAAATTCTCGGGCTTAAGGTCACGGTGCATAACTCCAAGAGCGTGACATGCCTCCAAAACCCCGACTATGGTCCTAGTAAGCTCAGCAGCCTTTCTTTCGGTATAATGTCCACGTTGAATGATCCTATCAAATAGCTCACCTCCAGCACACAACTCCATGACTACCTGAACTGCAACAGCATCCTCGTACGCCCCCTTGATCGATATAACATTCGGGTGTCCAGCCAAATGGTGCATTATCTGAATTTCCCTTCTCACATCTTCAACATCATCCTCATTAACCAACTTCCTCTTTGCAATAGACTTACAAGCATACTCTTTCCCAGTTGCCTTCTCCACACACATATATGTTGTCCCAAATTGTCCTTGGCCTAATTTTTTACCCAAGCTATAATACTCCTTAAAGTTTCCCGTTTTCGTCTGTAGAACCGAACCGCCTCGAAGCCCAGCACTACCCACCCTCTTCATAACAGGGCGCACCTTCGGTTCCACAGGCGGTTCTGGTTTAGCTACTGATTCTGGCATTGTCACTTTTTCAGGAGGTTGGTTTTGAACAGGCAAAGGCGATTCGGGTTCGCTAGCTACTACCTCACGAACATTTTCTCCATTAGTATGATTAGAAACCGAGTTCTCCGGCGTTTTAGATCGCCACATAGCAGCAGAAACAGATTCAAAGAATCCATTCTTTGAAATATTTGGTCCTACACAAGTATTCCCCATTGATTCCTACAACTCAAGATCCTTCCAAGCAAGTTCCTCAATTCAAACACAAAGAAACATTCATATTCTATATGATCGATTAACACCAAACTTAAGATCCGATCTCCAAAAACTCAATACACTGAAATCTCAAACCAAACACCTAGCTCTACCTCTAACAACAGAATTACAATAAAATAACTCAAGAATCAGAATCATCCCCAAAAATGGCAGAGAAATCGAATAGAAAAGTATATATAAGCAGATAAAGTAAAAAGTCAATGCATCAATCCTTGAACCTAATCAAATCTGAAGATGAACTACAAAATCCACATCGCCAAATTCTTCAAAACAACCAGAATCAAACCTAGAAATCAGAAGAGGCGATCAACAAATCGAAGCTATGAAAGCAACTAATCGACCGATCAGAGCAAAAAACCAAAGCGGCGGTGGATCTTAAGCAAAGAACAGGCGATAAACGAAATCGATGGGCGATAAATACATAGCTGAGTAGTCGAACTCCGGACGAGTTGAGCGGAAGAAGAAGAATCGTTGAGGGTTATGGGTAGGCTTTGTCTGCTAAGTACAAAGAGTTGTCATGGAAATTTAGAACATGGTTGGGATTTTTATTGCGCCAAAACGCGTCGAGCTGTGATGGATAATTGAATTCAATCTCCGCTCTCTTCGGTTGGCCTGCTCTCGTGAAGAAGAAGTCAAATTGACGCGAATTGACGCAGTCTTTTTTTTCTCTCTAAAAGGTTAAAAAGGTAATTTTCTTCCCTAATTTTTTCATTCTTTACTTGTGAACAAAAAAGTTTTAATTACTTTTTTTAATCTTACCCCTACCCCTTTTGAATTTGAATCAATGTCAAAGTTCATACCTTTTTGGGTTTGACTTTTTTAAAACGCTCGATCATGTGAGCTACTCGGTGGTGCTTTTTAGGTAAACTTTTTTGCTATAACTATACGCTTACCTTTGTTATTACTAAGCGGTCGTTTCTGATATTTATTTTTTTTAATTCAATAATACATAGAACATGTAATTTAGAATCTCTAATGTCAGATAAAATCAATTAAATTATGGTGAAATTAAAAAAAAAAAAAAAGGTTACCGTTGACTTTTTCCAATTTTTGAATCATTTGTTATAAGATATTTTTAATTTTTTTTGTATGATTTTTACGGCCCTAAAATAATGGGTTTTTCTATACAAATAAATTACTTTTTTTTATCTATACTTCTACTCGTTTTTTGTGAATGTTGTTAATGGCGGCCTAACAGATATCTCAGTCTTGCTTGTCCCCGATGTGTTGTTCATGGTTGCATGCTTATTTCAAACCCCTTTTACATGCTTTCATCTTAGATAGATTTTTACCGTTCCATATTGGGTCGGAGTATGTCCGTTCACCAAAATTGTGTCTACACCTGCAACGGCTAAAATGACCCAAAATGTACTCTAAGGGGATACGACTAGTTGTCAACTTCTTCCTACCCGATAGTTATATACAATAAGCCGTTATTGTTGTTTTTATTGCTTATGTTCCAACACCATTTCCAATTTCTCAAATTTTACTTTCAAAACTCTATTTCGAAATCTCTCTGTCCCGTTTTCTAAAACTTTCTTCTTGAAACGGAGTCAGAAGCTCGAGCATGCATCGCTTGACCGTAATATATATATAGAGAGAGAGGTTGCTTGACTTTCCGCTTAAGATTTTTGTCATTAATATTATTTTAATTTCCACATAATTAAATTAATATTAATATAATTATTTAAATAAATGAGCAATGATGGAAGTTCCCATTTACATTAAATAAATATTACTTAATTAATAAAGTTTGATTTTGCATATCCATGTTTGCCTTTTGTACATGGGATTATATTACTAAATATATATTATTGGATTTAATGGAAAATAATATTTTAAAAAGTTAAATAAATAATAAAATAAAGCCTTAGTTATTTTGAATTAATGTTATTATGTAACGTTTAAATAAATGAGAATACATGAATGAACAAACATATACCATTAAAGTATGTGTGACCGAACAAGCTTGGATTCTGCATGAACAATGTTCGGTAGGCTAAGACAAACACGAAAGGTCCGACGAAGCCACAGAGCCGGACAACAAATGAATATGAGACTTGAGTTCTTCTCAAAGCTTGTCGTGAGAGTATCAAGATCACGACACCGCACGATTGAAAATGTACGTCCGTGACATTATTAACACATTAGTACACATATACATATCACTCGGAATGTTTTTTATATATATTAATGTTTAGTTTGAAATTTTATATAATTTAAGTTAATTAAAATAATTGGATAAAAATATCAATAAAAAAATTTATTTCCAACAACAAATTAATTTAAAAAATTAAAATATGAGATAATATTAATTATAAAAAATAATATTTTAAAAACCCAAAAGCTACTTTTAACGACTTTTGCAAACCGTTAAGAAAGTGATAGTCAAATTTAAATAACTTACTTGATTTAAAATTATAAATTAACGAGAAAATTTAACAAATAGAAAATTAGTATTCTTAAATTCATAAATATATTTTATAATATTAAATTATTGTAAGAATCCCATGAAAATATTTTTAATATATATATATGGTATGAAATTGAAATTTTTTTAAAAAGTTAAAACAAAATAAAAAATTTATATTTAGTAAATAAAAAATGAATATCTTTTTTAAAGGTGTGAAAGACTAATATTTAAATTTAAATTTTTTAAAATTATGTTGATGTTTGTAAAATACAATTTATTAGTATTTTTTTTAATATATATTTTAATAAAATTATATTGAAAAATAGACCTTATCTATTAAGCAATGGCGATGGCACCAGACACGTGTCTAGAGTGGCAGACAACAACAACGAGCGGCAATCATAGATCTATGGAAAAGAAGAGCAAGGAAAGATAGACAAGAAGACGAGGGATTAAAAAGAGAGACAAGAAAACCATATTGTTAATCCAATCATCATCGATTTTGTTAGGTCAATTAACCGTCAAATAGATTAAAAAAATGATTTAAAACATGATCCACGACCAGGAATCAGATTAGGATTCAAAATCTGGATTTGATACTGATGGTCCCGTAAACCCTAAACCCTAAAACGATTTAAACCGTTCCCATGCCCAGGAACGTCTCATGCCCAGGAATCAGATTAGGATTCAAAATCTGGATTTGGTACCTGGTAGTCCCCTAAACCCTAAGCCCTAAAACGATTTAAACCAGGAACCTCCCATGCCCAAGAATCAGATTGGAATTCAAAATCTGGATTTGGTACATGATGGTCCCCTAAACCCTAAAACAATTTAAACCAGGAACGTCCCATGCACAGGAACGTCTCATACCCAGGAATCAAATTAGGATTCAAAATCTGGATTCAGTACCTGATGGTCCCCTAAACCCTAAAACGATTTAAACCAGGAACGTCTCATGCCCAGGAATCAGATTATGATTCAAAATCTGGATTTGGTACCTGATGGTCACGGCCTCACAAACCAACACGAGTCATTCCAATATATTTTGTTTTCACTCCCGAGATCACCCAATATAAAGTTCCTCCAAGCAAAACTAAACACGTTTAACTATTAAGTTCTTACGATCGAGCTACTAAAAAGCAAAACAGACCTTGTTAGCTAGAAGTGACTTTCAATTCTTAGTATTTCTTAATTATTCGGATGTGATCTCGGTTCATTCTTATATTCCTTCTTTGCTCAAACGTCACATAATATCTCGGTTATAAAGCAATTTTGTCTTATATTAAATTGGTATATGTATCAAAGTTCTCTTACGTAGATGGTGACCACTAATTTCAGTCATTTGTGTGTGATGAGGGCTCAAGATTGCACGCCGCTGCAATGTTTATTTGATTTTCTTGCCGTGTGAAATAAAACTACGCCGTTTTCCAATACAAAGGCCAATTTGAACTTTTGCTTGTTTGACTAAAATACCCTCGAGTGCATGGCCAATTTCCTTTCACAATTAATCTATTTTTTTTTAAAAAAAAAAATTAAATACACACTTTAAATTTTATAAATAAATAACAAGTGTATGTGGCCCGCAAAATAAAGAAAACCGTAGAAAGCTAAGAGTTTTGAGCACGAGATTTGAATTACGTTTAGTAGGATTTCTCTATTTTCGAACAGGGTTAGGAGAAAGTCGAGAAAGTTAGATTTATCCCCCTTTAAGGACCAATTGGGTCGTGGGTGTACATATCAGGTCTACCGGTGTCTAGGTAGACTTTCAAGCCTCTGGGTCTAATAACCTACTTACTAGGTCTAAGCTTGCTTCAAGTTTTACACCGATCTCGGTTTGTCCTCTATCCCTTTGATCTTGATCCTATTGTCTAAAATCACGTTGTACCGAACTTTATGTAAATTTTGGTACTTTAAAAATAAATATTTTTATAGATTTGTTTAATTTAATTTAATTTTTATTTTTTTTAACCATAATATTATACTTAAATTTATCAAAATTTTATTTTAGTTTTACAATAAATAATTCGAAAAATTACTCTTTTAGAATTATAAAACAAAAACAAAATAGAATTTTAGAGTTGAAAAATAAGAAATGGATTTACATTTAATAAAGCGGCATGGGCGGTTCCCCACTGCGACGCGTACTATGATATGACCTTGAAATGAAATTACGAAAATACCCATGTCGTCTCCTTTTAGATATCCCAATGGTCGGTTAGCCAATTCTATAAAACCCTCAAGCGTGTGCTTCGAAGCTCAATACAGATTTCTAGAGAAATATTTACTCAGAGAAGTTTCTTTCATTCTGGTTTACAACATCGATGGATGCATTATCGGAGTTTGTTTTCGCGCCGCCGCCTTCACTGTTCTTGAACGTGGTGACGGTGGTGATCCCGGTGGTGGTGGCGATGTTAGGACTTTCCGAAGCGAGGGGAAGGCATTTGCAGTATTCGAAGTTCTGGAATGCGAATAGTTCTCCGAAATCGTTGGAGCAGTTCAAGCTTCCGTCCTGGTTAGGGATGCTATTGGCTTATACTCCGGCGTTATTGGCCGGCGTTGTGTCGTTGTGGTTCTTTCCGAATGAGGATCGGAGGACGCTTCTGCTGAAGTCCGCTCTCACCTTGCATTTCTTGAAGAGAGACCTTGAGGTAATGTCTCCGTTTCTGATTATCTCTCTGTGCTCCTGATTGTGTTCTGAATGTCGATCTGATCATGGAAATAGATAGCGTAGATTGCAGATTGAACTTTCTGTTCTTGCATTAATTCGTGACTTATTGATTGGCTGTTCGTTTTCTCGTGAAGAATTAGTTATTCATGCTCTAGTTTGATCTAATCCGGAAGAACTATGGTCGAACGCGCTTTCTTCTCCATTCATTTGATTAACTATTCATCTACTCGTGAAGAATCGATTGTTCAAACTAGTTTGATCCGTTTTTTGAATTTGTTCTTCGCAATCTTCTCTGGTTTTTGAAAACCAAATGAAAATTCCCGCGGAGTAATTAGTGGAGATCATAGCCTTGTGAAATTGACCTAGAAATTCTCCCTGCTTCTTACCATTTCACTATACATCTTGTGAACCAGGAACATTTCCGTCATTTTTGTATGAGAAATGTTTTGACTTGATTTTTTTGTAATTTTCTTTTCTTGACATTCGTTTTTCCCTCCGTCTTTTTGTTTAATTGCCTTGCTTGTTTTTGTTTCAAAGTC